GAGGCTGAAGGCCGGGCCCAGCGTGTCCCCGAGTGAGCCGCGCCGTCTGTCCTTGAGCTTGGAGGAGGCCGGTCTGCACCTGGGCCAGCAGCCTTGGACCCTCCTGCGGGCCCCGAGTCCCAAGGTCACTCTCGGCCCCTGGCTGTACCCTGCCCGTTTCCTGGCTCCCAGGGCCGTGTGGCAGGACTAGGGACCCATCTGACACCGGGGCTGACTGCACTGGGAGCCCAGAGCTGGGGTTGGCACCGGGATGCCTGGGGCTCTGGGAGGTTCGGGGAGGCCCTGGCGGGGCGGGGGGGGTGGGGGCGCTGGAGCAGAGGGCCTGAAGGAGGCGAGGCTGTGGTGAGAGGGCGTGGCCATTGCGTCCCTGCAGCCAGGACAGGAGAGGAGCCAGGGGGCACAGTGCACCCTGCAGGCCAGGTGGGCAGTGCTTTCATGCAGAGGGTCTGAGTGAGGAGGGCCGACCCCCAGAGGTTCATGGCGATCCCAGCAGGAGGCGGGGGCGCTGAGACCGGAAGTGGTCACACTCTGGTCGAGTTCGGGTTTGCCCACCTGCTGGACCTACTGGTACTGGGCACAGGGCAGCGAGGTGTCGATGACCCGGGCGTGTGCCAGGCTCGGGCTTTCTGTCTGGTGGTGAAGGCGCAGCCTCCTCACCGTTGGCACCAGCCGACAGGGCTGGCCTGCCCACTGAGCCACCCTGCAGACCGGGTCGCTGCCCCGGGGCTGTGAGGTCGAGGAACGCGGGCGCCACTCACTCCGGGAGGGCGTGGAGGAGGGGAGCCGGGCTCCTCGGGTGGTCGGGAGGTTGGCGTGCGGGTGAGAAGTGCCTGGTGGATGGTGAGCCCTTTCCGCTCGGGGTGGCAGGGGCAGGGTGTAAGGTGCCAGCCAGTGTCTCGCAGCCAGCGCGGGGACAGCCTCAGCTGGCGTGCCCGCAGTCGTGGCGCAGACACGCCACATGGCCCGTTGCCGGCTACCGACAGGGTGCTGACCAGCTCCGGGTTCCACCGAGTGTCACAGCCTGGCCGCCATCACAAACCCACAGCCGTTCTCGCGGTTACCGTAGAACCTCGCTCGCTCGAGGGTCTGCCTGGCAGGCTCGGCTCTGCGGGGTCGTCGCTCTCTGCCTGTGGATCGATCGCTCCCTGATCCTTTAGGGCCTGTAGGATTGCCCGGCCCACTGCAGTGGAGTCGGCCCCGGTGGTGGGCAGTGAGCCGGGCCGGGTCCTTGGGCCCCACCTGGAGGCCAGCCACCTCCCCGCCCCTGTGCTGCCCAGGCGGCCCGTGCTCAGGTGGCCTTTTGCCACCGTGTCTCTCTGTGCCCTGCTTGAGGCCCTTGAGAGTGGTTCTGTGGCAGGTGAGGTTGGCGTGACCAGGGCCGTGGGCTTTGCCACGACGGTGTGGTGTGCGGGGAGCTGGTGGTGGCTGGGCGAGGCGGCAGGGCCTCGGGTGACCGCCTTCCTCTGCTGTCCCTTCTCCCCCAGGTGCTGCCTGGTC